TGTTCTATTAGTTATAGGTCTAAGTGATTTCAAATATGTATTTTTTACGACTAGAATGTATCTAAAATGATTTTGAGAAAATAAATTGTTTTAGAAGTAAATAGTTTCGTCATGTTTAGTTTATAAAGGCACATTTTGGTACAAATCTTGAAGTGGGCCAACTGAAGTGGGAAGGGGCTCGTAGTATAAAAAATTGAGTTAAGTAGTGCTCAACATGTTTTTGAATCCAATCATTATCATGAAGCTTAGGAAAACCGAAATAATAGGGTCATAGTTCTCGTCCCTTCTTTGTCTCCAACGAGTTTGCGGAGTTTTTTCGGCTATAGTTTCAGTTATTCTTGATAATTTAGTAGTTCCAGGTAAATCGCCTTCCTAAAATTAAATATTCTTAACAGCAACAACATGATAAGCCACGATCAAATTCGCGCCAGTTTTGTTTTGTTAAAACATGGTAAGCCACAAAAACAAAAATAATACATACCACCTCACTTGTATCTGAACTTTCGTCATCACTTGATGGTACAAAATTCCTATCAACCACACTATCATCACTTGATTCATAAGATTCACTGATTGAACTGCAAAGATCGCTTAAAATAGGATTGTTATCGAGAGGCACATACGAACCGTTCGCCATTTTGACGTGGCTTATCACGTTTTAACGTGAAGCTTGTAGAGAACCGCGTAATAGAAGTAAGTGAACAGAGATTGACTAATATGACCATGTGCACAGCTTAATTTCCTTAAAGGCAGGCAGATTCTTGATGCAGCTGCCACTCACTCTTGCACATACACTTGAAATGGGTCTTCACTTTCTGAAAATGCGTCTATAAATTCAACAGTCGACATAGTAGTTGTGTCTTAAGCATTGCTGTGTTTTATATCGAAGATTTAACAAGGGTAAACTAAAATCGCACGCTCGTGACGTGCAAGTTGTCATACTGACAGTGACAAGAATAAATGTCAAAGACTCGTACGTTAACGAGAAAATTTTCGTAATTAATTGGATTTGGGGTCTATAGAAACACAGTTTCCTGTTTCTAAGTGGCCGACATTTCGGAAAAACCTTAACAGGCATGAACAGTTTTTAATTGTTCTTATTCTGACAACGGCAATTGCTGATATGGTTATTTAAGTTATTAATCACCCTTTAACAGTAGTCACCAACAAATGTGTGTACATATAGATACTTATGTCAGTTATTCTTAAATGCAGAGATGTAAACGGTATTTTATTTATACTATAGCACCCCATATAAAAACCAGTATTTCGAATTGCATTCGCAACGCGGCTGTCGCTCAAAAAATAGCCTCAACCTTCCGACCCTCTATCCCTTCACCCTAACATCAGGATGAAAACACATTCGAACACTTACTACACTTTCAATTTGTCATTTAATCCTCTCTTCACGCTTCCGATGTTTGACTAACAATTTGGACGTGCGTGTCTCTGTCTGCATCGTATTATCCCCTACCCATTATCACAGTTGTAGAAATCTTTCTAGGTATGTCTACTTGCATCCTTTGTACGGATTGAGTTTACGTGATTATTGGATTCTCAATCAGCGCTGTGATCAGCTAATAAAGGATTATATTCGGCACAAGCTAGCTCGTGCAAGAAAAAAGTTAGCTAGGAACATATATAACAAAAAAATTATATGGATCAAGTCAGCCAAACAGTCACATACAATTAGTCAATAGTCCCCAGTCATTTTACAGCATTGCGGTCTAGAGGTTTCTCCCCTGCCCTATCAACAGTACTGACCATCTTGGTACGCTGCTATGAATAAACTCGTCATCCACCCATCGGTCAGACATCAGTCATACCTTGATGCAGGTACATATATCTAAGCCCCCCCCGGAGCTGCGACAGATGTGTTGATAATATCAAGTTTTAAGAGAACATGTACCGGAATATCTATGATGCGTGAAATATAGATATAGACTTCCAAAAACCACAAAGCCTTTTGATCCTTGGTATAGTCGTAACATTATATCAAAATTTAATCAAACTTCGGCCGATATTTTCTAAGTAACAGCGGGCCAAAGATTAGCGGAAATATAGATCAAGTGACAGATAGACGGAAATGGGTGACATGGTTTTTATGATGTATATGTCATATAACTTTAAAAAGCATACGATCTCATTTTCGATTTATTTCGTTAATTCAACTTGTTTATTCAATTTATTTTATTCATTTTATTTACTTTATTTTTATTCATTGTACGGGTGACACCATTTGTACAAAGTAAGATTAGAAACTAAGGATATCTGAGAATAACATTCAACAGGTAACGATGTCAACATCTGACTGAACGAAATTGGGTAGGTAAAGTACTTTGTTGAGTGGAGAGTGTTGACCATAATTCCGACAGATTACTATTTCCCAATCTTCTACACGGTACTTTCAAATTTATCAACGCTGGCAAAATGTCACAATCAGTCACCCACAACAAAACTTTGAATGCAAAACAACCATCAAAGACCAATGGCGTATGCTCCAAAGAGGCAGTAGCGGCTACGTTAACATGTCAGCTCTACGATATTCAGTTCAGTCTAAAAAATGTATGTATATTGAAAAGGTTTTAGCTCTTTTATTTAATACTATACAGCTGCCGCCCCTCTTGTTTATTCTAAGAATAATCATATTGCCGAGCAAATAGATTTACCAAATCTGTCTTGTGCGTTAGTTAAATTCCAACACTGCCACTACATATTACAGATGACAAAAGAAAGCGGTTGGCTTTCGTATCGAGTTTTAATTTTACTGATAGGTTGTAAGCTTCTTGAGCGGTACTAGAGTTTCACTGTTAATACAATAAAGTTACACCAAGAACATATCTATATACCCTCGTAACGCAGATCAGTACTTATCCTGTTACCCTGAATTGTGTTTAGCTTAAATTGTAAAGTATTGTAATCGCGATACATTTAGAAAATGAGTTATGTGTTTTGTATGTACCGATCCGATTTTGATGAAGCACAGGGACGAAAAAGCTTTGTAGTTTTTTTAAAATCGGTCCAGCGGCGGAGTGGGGGCAAAAAATAAAAAGGTAAAAATCGCTCAAACTTCGTTTCTGACGTTTCAGAGACTTCTGATCATTTTCGAAAATTGGGGATTGCGGGTTGTAGCGGGTAGAGGGTTGTAAGTGTTACGTTTGCAGAATCATTCAAAGACGTTCTATAATTAAGAAGATTCTGATCCCAGTAACAAAATTAAATGATAAAAGTCAGATGTAGTCATAATTCTCCGACTGTGGCAATCACAATATGTAACTGACTCCAACTGGTGTACTGCGGCAATGTCGTCACCGCTACAGGGTAATATTTTGTATGCGGGTAATAGGAGTACGTACAAATTTCGCGTCGTTCTGCTATGCTTTTGTAAATGACAACTTAATTGTTTATATGTGTACGTACACATATCTTCAAGCAACAGAAGGCTTGTTTGAAAATTGATTCAGTGGCGGCGGAACTACGAACAAAAAATAAAAAACGGAAACATACATAATTTTTGCGTACTTACAGCTATCTAAGCATTTTGCTTTTTGTTTTTTATCAAACCAAAACGGCTGTAAAAAATACTGTACTGACATTTCTGCTGCCGCAGAAGGTACGTCATAATGAAAATATGAATTGGATTTTAAATTCAAAAAACAGGTAATTAAGTTGAAAAAATATATGATTGATAGTCAAGATGTAATTGCCGTGGCAGATTGTTTTTACATTTCATCAAATAAAAAGGTAGTTGATTGAATCAGAAGAGTTATTCCAGAGAAAAAGGGCTAAGGAGCATAATGTGGACCAACCAGTGTGGTTAAAAAATGGAAATCAAGTGAACTGAGAAACGGGCATAGTGTATAAAGCCAAAATGAAGGTTGATGGAAAATGGAAGTATGACATTCGAGAAAATGTTATTTAATGTTTGCGACTGTAAGATTATAACCAAATCTAGTAAAACAGAGTGCAGAAAATTGACTCGGGAAAACCGAGGATATATATTCAACATATTTTGGAACCACAAGAACTGGCAGGAAAGCAAAATGTACCTATATCCATAGTTTGGTGAAAATTCAAAATGTAAAAAGAAGAAGGGGGGCAAATGATAACGGTCTATTCACTAAAGTACTACCTCAAAGTCGAGACCAAAGAATTTAGAGTCTGCAAAAGAATCTTTCTAAATACGATCAGCATGAAAGAATCTACAGTATTGAACTGAACGAAAAGTAACAAACTGGAAGTAAGTGGAAAGAGAGTAAAGGATAAAGGAAGACTGAGTAGGAGTAAAATATACGGAGGACGAACGAGGCACTGATGAGTTTTTCGATTCATTACCATAAGTTGAGTCACACTATTGCCGAGCGTCAAGCAGTAAACTATATTTGGAACCAATGTGGACTTCAACAAATCAGTTGTATAGTTTTTACAAACGTCATCATTGCCCTGACAGTGGTGATGAACCCGTACCACGAACGGTCTTTTTCAAAGAATTTAACAAACGATATCTCGATATATGTTCCCACGAAAAACCTGTGTGATACCTGTGTTGCATACAATACAAGGAATCTTCAAAAACGAGAGCACGATTTACATCAAGAAATAAATAAAGAAGGGAGAGAAGGAAAAGAAAAAGACAAGAAGTCACCTGCGACAGTATTCACAATGGACTTGTAAGCAGTTGTCCTATGTCCAAAATCGACAGTCAGAGCAATGTATTAAAAGACTAAGTTGCTTGTGCACAATTTTACAATATATAATTTAAAAATCCAAGTCGGATACTGCTTTTTATGGAATGAAACGGAAGGTGGCATCACGTCTAACAAATTCTCATCTACATTGACTGAGTTTATAGAAAACACTGTCATTCCTTCACTAAAGGAAGAGCAGAAAGAAGTAATGCTATATAGTGACGACTGTACCGGACAGAATCGAAACTCTATTTTGGCCAATACTTACTTAAAATCACAATGCTCCATAAGATAACATTCATCCAAAAAAACCTTGAAAAAGGGCATACGCAAATGGAAGTCGATTCAATTCACACTTGCATTGAGAAAACGATTCGGAACCGTAAAATCAATATACCGGCCGATTATGTGCATGCTTGTGTGACATCTAGACAGAATCCAAAGCGTTATAATGTAAGATATATTACATCAAACTTCCTGAAGGAATTCGATACGCTCAATTACTACAAATCTATTCGACCTGGTAGAGATACAATGGTGAAAATATGTGCTTTAAAGTATGACCCATCCGGAAAGATATATAAATTAAGGCACACCGACTCCTGGGAACAACTAAATCCGACAATTAAGCTGTCCTCACCTAGACTAGATTCTTTACACAACATGTACCAAGAAAGAAGGAAGATAAAGAAAGAAAAATATGAACATCTCCAAATTTTTAAGAAAACTTTACTTCAAGATTACTATACCTTCTACGACAATCTTCCCTACGAAAAAAAAATAACCTTTTCACCATGTAATATGTTCTAACATAATGAATCTAATAAAAATATAATCATGATAAATTTGTGATTTTGTCTTCTGAAAAATAAGTATGTCCCTGACTTCAAGGACAAAAATTGCGTAACTCCATAAAAAAATTAAGTGTTATACATGGCACGTTTTTTTTCGCTTTCGTCTACGTGTGGCCGGTCTTTCAACAGTTAGTATAAATTTCATTGAGTTATTAGATAAACACAATCTTCAGGAAAGTTTTTTGTCTCCCCTGAAAAATTTTCCGATGGGGACATATGTGATTTTTTCCGGATGGCCACGTTATCTATAATAGGATTGACCCAGTATCATTCATTGACTGTGGAAACCAAGGGCACATCCGTCTAGCCTCCACTTATTGGTGTTGGCCTATGTTGCTCATCGTAAAGATGCGGCATTAGCTATTAAAACGCAATTCTATCTCTATATTTCATTTCCCACCCTGTACTCAACAATCATCATGGATGAAACACCGGAGCTCACCAGCATTTTCCCGGACGATCGATCGTTTTCCGGGGATTCGTCTCCCAAAGGGCGGAGCCTACCGCAGACTCCGGCGTATCAGGATAATCCGGGGGCAGGGCATCGAGTCGCCGGCGGCCGGTCCCTTTGTGGCCCTTGCCACCGAAAGCTCGTCCTAAGCACCCGCAGTCCTCAACACGTGTACATCCGTTACGACACGTGTCCGGAACAATCCGCTAACGGGTCACACACGTGTATGTGTGACATGTACGTTACCTGTGGTTTGTTTATGGGGTAAGTGACAGGATTTGTGTGTGTTGTGATTTGTGAGAAGGCAGTGATTTTTGTGCTTGTAAGTAGCTAAGGATCAAAAGAAATTGGAAACATTTTCTACTAGATTAAGAGAGAGGCAGATACTAAGAAAATGGTGTGCGTTACTCTAGTGCTTTCACAATTTATCTACTACGCACCTGTATATGGTCCATGTCTAGATCAAAACAGGCTTAATAGTATTAAACGTGTTCAGATCTCATGTACTCGATTCATATATGAGATTAAAAAGTATGAGCACGTTTCACAAATTGAAGGAACTAAATTGTCTAAGCATGGAGAAAAGATTGCCCTTATATGCTCTCTGCTTATTTCACAAAGTACTGTACTTACTATAAGAACCCCTTATCTTTATCGAAATGTGCCATTTCGCAGGATAGTTCTTTTTGAAAGAATCTTCAAATTTACTATTGCTAGAAATTATAATTCTCTTACTTATTATCTCTAAAATGCAATCCACATAAATATAAGGGACTAGTTTTGGATTACTCTATGAATAATTAAATTATTACAATTTCAATGTTTATTTTACGTGACCCTTTGCATGTTTCTTGGTTAGTTTTTGGTCAAGCTATTTTCTACATATTGTCTGCAACTGGCAAGGGCTCAGTAGAAAAACACCTCTAGGATGAGCTCTCCCTTGAGGTGTTACTAATATTATGTCTTTCGCATGTGTGTGCAATATAGGTATATGATGGAAAAATAAGGAACACATTATTATTATTATGAATGAAGCCACAAATGATAAATTAATAACTTCATCGCGGTTCTGGTTGATACGGTTATAATGTCTTTTTTCTGTAAAACATAGTTTCATTTGAAAGATGTTTGATTTCCACACCTTAACCTGGAAGAATATTGTCATTGCAAACATTTTTGAATTCGTTTTATCGTTACAAAAATGCATGTTCTCAGTCTCGTCTGTTGTTCGTAGTAGCTTTCTCTATAGCTTATACAATAACTTTGAATAAACTTTTTCTTAGTAGCAAAAAATAACCACCCGCATCACTTTGTGAACATTTTTATGGTTTGTCGATGTGTCAGGGCAAGATTTTTTGATCAGGTTTGTTTCCGGTCGCCTGCTATTTTGTGCTTGTTCAGAGATGGTTTTGTTAAGGCTTATAAGGTCCTGGAGCTCTCATTATGGCGCTTTTGAGCGGGTAATATTTTTACTGCACTATCTAGCAACAATAGAGCATTTCAGCAACATACGGGAATATTTTTTATATATTTCGGCAATATTGCTATACATATGACATCTCCGACATATTTTTGTATATTGCTATCAGATTCCCAAACTTTGGAAAAAAATTTGTAGAAGCATAGTGCACAGCACTCAAACATGACAAAAATTGATTCGAAATTAGTATAGCAACAGAAAAAGCTAACAACTCACGGTGTTCCCAAACTTGGTGTGGCCGTTACCTGATATAATTTTGTCTGTTGGTGGTAATTCAAGAATCTTTTGTTTGTTTGCTTCGATAGCGTATGTATGGAAAGTATGTTTGCCTGTGTTGTCTAACCTCTAACAAGTGCGTAGTATTACTGGAATCTGAAGCTTAATAACAGAATATCTCACTGATACCAAATATGCAACATTCACAGCCCCATAACATGTTTTTTGAAAATGAGCAGGGGTCTCTGACTCTTACTTACTTTTTTTTATTTATTTGTCAGCTACAATTACTTATTTCGTATTGATGACTTTCACGATATCTAGTGATCATTTTTATATAGATACTGGGATAGTATCACGTCTTATGCCGCAGAACATGAATCTAGAGGCAATTTCGTTCAATTTTCTTTAGCAGATTACAAAGTTGAGCATTTTTGAGGTACAAGCGATTCAATGCCCGAGAAAACCTGAAATAGGCATTTTCAGTACTTGAAAACTTGGTTAGAAAGCGTTATTTTTGAGATTGACAAGTCTAAAGTGTCTCAATAAAAATAAAATCTTCCTCTACAAAACCCCGGAGACTATTTTATGCTAAGTTTATTTTGAAGCGATGTTTAACCTCAACTTGGGTCTTCTGCTTTCAACTTGCACCTATAACGACTATGAAATGAAACAGTATCACGTATACCAAGATACAGTTATATACACGCCAACATACACGTGACCGACAGACACATAGGTTAATAAAGAAATGAAAATAATGAAATATTTGTTAGGAAAATTATTACCTGCTATGTCAAACTACTACATAGGCCAATTGAGAGGGAAGATATGCTCTTTTGAATGACGGCACGACGCACGAGGCTATATTCAATATGACACGTGGCAGCAACAATAGAGACACTTATAGGTCACGTGGACGACACACGCAGCAGGTGGGATTTGATAATACCACTTAAAGCTAAATTTAGCCTAAAAAACACTATAGCGTAATCCACTGGCAAGCACTGGAGCAATTTTGCACTTTAGTCGTTCTTACTTCCCATGACAGTCCACCAATTTTAAGGAAAGTATAAAAGTAGGGTGTAAAAGATAAATATAATCAAAGTTGAGAATCGTTATGACATTATGACTTAACACCCCATCGTGCACCGTACAAGTTCTTGGTGCACACGTAATACATTCATTGCAAAAAATTTTGCTATAATTTTGCCTGTGGAACACAGAATGACATAGACAAATGCACCTAAGTACCCAGCTGAAGCCTCTAATTAGAAAAAACACATAGGCACCCGCACGAATTTTTCTCAGAGAGGGCCGATCATCCGCAAGAGACTTTTTGTAAAAGTGTACCTGCCCCCAAAACTTTTAGAAGAGCAGAAGTGTAATTAATCAAAAAAAAACTGGGGGTAGTGTATTTTCGCAAGGGGGCAAATCCAAATCATTCTTTTCATCAGTTTTACAAATTAATACTAAAAACTGAAGATGTTTTGGAAACTCAAAATTCCAGAATCGGATTTAGTTTTTTTCAGTTTCTTGTATTTGTCAAGTGCAACGCCATATTTATTTTTTGACCTTTGAACTTAAAATTAAGTTAACGTAGTATGCAGGTCCGGACTTTTCACTTAATTGTATGACGTCCCTTGTGTGCATGATGTATAACTAAATCTAACGTAGGATTGTGGTCAAGCCTGTTTAGGTTTTTCTACATTCTGAACTGTCAAACGAATTTAATTAAGTTAGAAGCAGCCAAGCCTATATGTTTATGTTGCATTGTTTGTCGCCAATACTGCGTAATTTTAGTGCAAACTTTTGGCACATTTGCCTACCAAAGTGACAACGTTGTATCAACATAATAATAATACTTACCAATGGAATCACCAACCCTCCATTAGGCTTGTGCTGTGCAAATTATGTAAGAAGTAGCACGTCTTGAAATCGTCTAACATCACAATTATCGTACTTTTAAAAAATTACATTAAAACTACGAATTTAATCACAGACCAGTCAAAAAATTTACTTATGTCAAGTGCACTTTATTACACACTACAGACTCTGAGAATAAGGAGACAAACACATCCTTGAGTGGCTCCTTCTACCTAGTCTAAATTCGTTGGAATAGTCAAATCCAGTACACTTTGATACCTTTAACCGTTTAGTTGTATACATTAGTTGGTAGAATGAGGTCATTAAAAAAATATCGAAAAAACACATCATTAATTGTCCATTTTACTTGTATCGTGTACTGCTCTATTTTTGCAAAATAATAATAAATTCACAGTAAAACTTAGAGCGTTGTACTTAATAAAATACAATGAGATACTAGTTCCAATTTTAAAGCAAGAACCTATTGAGCAACGTGCCCGCGCATCCTGTCACGTGACGTTCATTCAACCTCCGACACTGTTGGCCAGGCTTTCACTACGCCATATTATCACGTCTCTTCCGGTGTTGGGTGGTTGCGTGGTTAAACTGCTTTGTTTCTCTCTAGCTGAGTCGATCTGCTTCACGTCAGCGTTTGGTCTCATCTTGCAACAAGAACACAGACGCAACTGGATAACTTTGATTACTCATTACTGGATCATCCATCGTACAGCCCTGACTATATTTACCTCCAAAACTTGGTGGAAAGCGCATGGAAAATAATGACATGTTGAAAAAAAGCAGTTACTAACTGGATAAACGTTCAAGCGGCAGCGTTATTTGACGACGGAATCCAAAAGCAGGAGCCACGACGACAAATGTTGAGTTTTTATCACGACTAAGTCACAAAACGAAAAAAATGTTCATAATTTGTCAGACTCCATTACTGGATACTTAAAAAATGATGCCCATAAAAAAACTCCGACCCTGGAATTTTGGGTTCTCAGAACATCTTAAATGCAACTGAGCTTTATTTGCTGAAATATCAATTAATTGATCGTTGATACCCTTAGAAATTTTTAGTTTTGTGTCACATTAACTGGTAAAAGTAAGATATTTGAATCAATTAAAATGTTTAACTAAAAAACAAAAAGAGGCGCAATCATTCTACTTTGCTAATTAATTAACATCATTCACTGGCTTTTTTGTACATAGTCAAACATTTCAATATGCAGCTTAACCCCTCAATTCTTTTCAATAGCTTAGCGCAAAGATAAGAATGCTGTCAAAGCATCAAACCAACTTGTTCTCAACAGCAAGGTACATGATTATCTAACATCATAAAATTAATATAATATTGGGTAATATTCCGTTTATCGTACGAGATAAGCTGGCAATAGAATAACAGCAAGGGTTATTGATTTTACTCTTTCAAATTATAGCTTACATCATGTGAACCCTTGTACTTAGTTATTGACAACCATCAGTGGCAGATTTAGAGGGGGACGCGGGGGGAGCGCGCCTCCCCCCAGACGCCTGACACTTGCTTTTGCAATCTGAAACCATTGTGTTACTTTCTGACATATCATGGCGACAGAGGCATACTAACTATAAGTTATAGCTATAGGAAGGTGCACTCTAATCTGAGAAAGAACGGGGGAGTTGTGGATTTTGTCCACAGCAGTCTTTCTTGCTCCAGAGATGTTTCTTTGCAATCAGACAGGAAGGACATTCTGTGGCTTCGCTTCAACTACAAAACATGCCTCAAATTTATTTGCTGCTTTTATCGCTCTCCCTTGTACCATAACTGGGATGACCTACTTAAATACCTTACCGTCAAGATCCACTTCCTGAACATCAATCACCCCGCTTCAGAGGTAGTTTTTCCCCTGCCTGTCGTCATGAGTCAATCGCCTGCTGGATCTCTTTCTGACCACCGATCCTGTCCCTTACAGCTCTGCTGTCCTGTCTCCCCTGGGTAACTCAGACCACTGTGTGGTGGAGGTTAGGTTTCGGACAGAACCCGCTGTGGCAGCACAAACTCGCACAGGCCGCAAAATTTGGCATTACGGACATGGCGACTGGGAGGGGCTCACAGACATCTTTACCTTTCCTTGGAGTGATGTCTATTTCACTGACGCGGATGCGTCGGCTGTCTGTTCTTCGATAACTTAAATTATCCACGTAGGAAAGTGCCTAAACCAGGTCCAACGGCTGGTTTAACAAATCGTGTGACACTGCTCGCCAGCAGAAGATCAAGGCACACAGCACCTTCTTACAAAACCCCACTGTAGAGAACAGACAAGCCGACGTCGAGTCCAGAAGAAAATATAACGAAGCGACATGGCATTTGGTCTTTCTGGACGCTGACCAAGCAGATCGAAAGGGACTTACGTGTCAGGATGGAACGACTGTATCAGACCAGGCCAAGGCGGAAGTGTCTGCCAAGATCTTTGCTGCCAACTCCACGATGGATGTCCCTCCAACGCCCAAGTGCCGTCAATTCTAAGGGTACCCTACACTATGCGGGAGGTAACATTCAAACATAAGACCGTAAGATGAGTGCTCTTGTCGCTCGACATCATCAAAGTTTCTGGTCCGGACTTGATTCCTGCCATTGTACTGAAGAGGTGAGCAGCGGAGCTTGCTCCAGTTCTTTCGCGTCTCTTCCAGATATCTTATGAATCTGACACCTTCCCAGAAAACTGGAAATTCGCTCATGTCCAACCCATTCCAAAAAAGGGATCTAAGACCGACCCTTACAACTACAGGCCTATAGCCCTGCTTTCTGTTATAAGTAAGGTGATGGAGAGGTGCATAAATCGCGAGCTTCTGGACTACCTCGAAAGTCACAGCTTGATTAGCGACAGGCAGTATGGTTTCCGGCACCAACGATCCACAGAGGGGACCTCCTAGCTTACGTCACGCAACTGTGGAGTAAACTCATCCAGTCTCATGGTGAGGCTCATGTCGTTGCTCTTGACATCACGAAAGCGTTCGATCAGCTGTGGCACGCTGCCCTCTTAAGCAAACTTCCATCCTTTGGCCTCCCAGAAAAGCTTTGCAGATGGTTGCTGACTTTATCTCTAGCCGCAAGATATCCGTCGTGATTGACGGGTTCTCCTCTTCATCCCACAACGTCAATACGGGTGTTCCCCAGGGATCGGTCTTGGATCCGACACTGTTCCTCTTACAAATCAACGAAGTAATTTCCTGCTCCGCTGACGACAACACTCTACATGTAGGAATTCAGAGTCATAAGCCGATCTCTGCCGCTGAGCTGGAAGAAAGACGACTAGCGGCGACTTCGTCTCTGACGAGAGACCTGGAGGTTATCACTGCTTGGGGACGCAACAATCTTGTACAATTTAATGCTTCCAAAACACAGTTTTTTTTACAAACAAAAAGCGTCCTAGCGCTCATCCGGTTTCGATGGATGGCCAGGTTCTGCCAAAGAGCCATTCATTTTGACATTTCGGAGTCAGATTACCGAGGACCTGATCTGGCACGAACTCATCTCGTCAATAGCAGCAGCTGCTGGGAAAAAGTTAGGCTATTTGTTAAGACCTAAGAAGTTCTTTTCTCCGCATGACGTTCTCACTCTATACAAGGCCCAGCCTCGAGTATTGCTCACACGTTTGGGGTGCTGCTGTCACGGCTACATTCTTTGTCTTGTCTAGCGTCCATACGATAATGTGAGTTTTCTGGTCTCATGTTCGTTTTCGCAATTAAAGACATTGTTTTATGTGGAATGGACTGGGATATGTCTCGGGGTCCCTCAGAATGTTTTATTTTTTTTTCGGTTAACAGAGCAATGAAGTTTTTTATGTTTGAATCTTTAATTATTACACTAGCTAATTATAAATGCCACGTACTTATTTTGCTCTTATTTAATAAAATATTGCCTTTCTGGGGATTTCTGAGCATTTTCCATGTGTTTTTTTCAAGCTGGCCTTGACCAGATAGAACACAATGGATTTAAGGAGCAATAATTGGTTAAATTCTAGAAGTTCCACTGAGGTTAAAAAATGACCAGCCTCAAATATCGTTTGTAAAAGGTAAAATGGTATTCTCCTCTATCCATTAATTCCATAGGGCTTTCCTCGTTTACATTTGAAAGTGCTGAAATCCTTCCTGAAAGGAAGGTTTCAGAAAAAAATTAACAGTGTTCTGTCGGCATCAGAATCTATCAATACTAGAGTCCCACTCAGCGTTCGGTATTTGCATCAATCCTGTTGATCAGGTGCTCTGATTCCCACTTACTCTACAAGTAATAAAAACAAAATTTACTTATTATGGATTACTAATACTAGTATCCTTGGTTTCAGCCAGGAAATGCAGCCCGATCAAGGTCTGAAACTACTTTACGCGGAACTTGAATAAGAGTTTATGATGGAAGAATTCGATATGGCTTCGACAATGAACCGGCACCACCACCATCACTTCTTTTTCGACACTCATCCGTACCTCACTGCAAATACAAACAGCAATGGCAGCAATGCTGGATCAAATGGCAGCAGCGATTTCTTCTTGTATGATGAGAACAGCAGCGATTCAGCGGTTTCGAATTTTTCTTACGGGAGCGATCAAGAGAACAACTCGGACTGTAAGGAGTGAGTACCTTTAGTTTAATCCTTGAACATAGAACTCCCTTGAAATTGTGAGAGGCTCTTAAGCCTTCACGTTTAATTTTTGGTTCGGAATAAATGGAAAACACATTTCATAGATTTTATAGTGTATAAGCGTTTGAAAACGCGGTTGTTATAAAAATTTCGGAAATTACATTTAGCCAAAAATCACCAGTTAAAGCTTATACAAAACCTCTTCAAAATGACTAGATCATCTAGGAGTTAAATTCTTACTCATATAGTTATTAGTCATTTCTGAATGAGTTAACTGTAATAATTTTCCAATTTCTCCTGGACCCAAAGCACATATGGGTTGGTTGAAGTCCCAAAGTTATAAACTTCAGAAATGCAGCAATAGCATTTTCTGGAGCCGAACAAATTTTTTACACAAAATTACAGATTTAGATCTATTTCGAGTCTTGCTTTTATCCCCCGGCGCATACAAATAGGTGCGAGTTTAACGTATGTATCTGTATATAATGGTCTAGTTTTGTTTATTTGTTAGGAACGTGGTTTAATCGAACGTGTTTTTGGTATGATTTCAAGGAACGACACGGTGGGCTTAATTCACTTAGATGCAAGTTGACAACAACTCAATCTTCTATGTTGAGTTGAGTCATTTTTACTGCAAAAGGTTCATTTAAATACAGAGAACTTTGAAAAATAGGCTGCTTAAACAAGCGTGTTGTAGACATCACAAAATAAAAAAATCGTATTTGAATTTTTTCGCAGCCACCCTTCCATATCAGTGGACAAGAAAGGCATATATTTGTTATTTCTCCTTGGTGTGTTAATTATTGTGAAAATCAATACTTAGTACTCAACTATTTGAGTCACATATAAAATAGTCTCCTAAATCAATTTGCAACCAAAGTATAGTTAGCGATATTTTGCTACGTTGCGCACCGTTGCTAGAAATTAATGTCATGCATTTTTAGAACACAATAGGAAAAACCACAAAAAAAAATCGCTATGGACAAACAAATGACTCGAGTGAATTGAAACTTGTACTGTAGGCGGCTCACTTGTTCCCCTGCCTCCCCTCCAAGCCCGACGCCCCCAGTGTTGCCAAATCAAACTCTACGTTGCCAGTTTCATCACTTCATTTACAGATCTCGTTTATGCCTGAGAAACGAAATCTGTTGAACCGAACTATTGTATGTTTTGGCGCGCTTTTATACAAACCATATGATAGACTTACAGTGCATTTCACTTACATTAAAATATAATGGTCTGCTCAACGGGGAAGACTTTATTGGAATGCAATTTGATGCAAACCCGTTAAGGCTATAGGAATATCAAATAAAATTAAACAAGATGAATCTAAATTTGAAAAAGGTAAAAAATGTGGATGAACTGGTAAAAACATTCCGAAGAGGAAAATGTAACGTATTACCAATATATCGTCAGAGGTTCAGGAAAGAGGTGAAAGAAGATGATGCGATGGTGGAGAAACTGAAGTGGAACGGTTATTTGGGATAAGTGACGTTCAGCAAGCTCACAACGTTTAATGGTTTTTTGAGCATTATGATAAATAATGAGTAAGCTGTCATTTTATTTTTTGCTGTCGAGCTAATGTTGCCAGAATGTAAATCATGCAAGCGTGTGTAAATCTTGGAGCAAAACTCCTTAACACCAAAATGATTTTCAAAAACAGCTAAATCCAAGAAAATTTCTTTGTTTTTCAAAAAACTATTGAAGTCATATTTTCTCGCGAACAAAATCTCAAACATCATATTACCACCTACCACCTTCTGCGTAGAAGAATCGTAAGTTCCTTATTTTGTAGCCAGTATACTTTTGCGTTCCCTGAAAAATGCCCTAAACTGGATTCAGTGGTTCTTGTCAACTTATTTATTCATATTATTCAAGGCAAGCTTTACCTGTAATATGCTGTAATTAAAAAATATTTTCTACTTTTCAGTTCGGTTAGCTGTTTTTTTGTTTTTTAAACTATTATTTATTGAGAAAAATATTCACCTCGTATTTTATCGTTATCTTGGAAGTTGTCATTATTGGGTAGGGCCCTTCGATTATTGCAAGATCGTCTATTCAGACGTTTGAGGACACCCGGGGTTGTTTTAAATATTCAATTATTTGTTACAGACGCATCTACCGCCATCGCCGCAGGAACAAATGCCCACAGCAACAGATTCAGCAGAGACAAGCTGCAAATCTGCGCGAAAGAAAACGCATGCAATCAATTAATGATGCTTTCGAAGGTTTGAGGGCACACATACCTACACTACCATATGAAAAACGTCTGTCTAAGGTTCGTAGGAAAATGATCATGAAATTTTTTTTATCGTAGGAAAAGATGACTTTAAAAAGGTCACCCCTAAATCAGAGAGCGAGTGGAAGACCGATTCCCACAAATTAGACTTGTCTCGTTCTTGTTAAGGAAGCAACACAGTTTCAATAATTTTTCAACGTCCAATGACCACCAGACAGGCACGCTAACAGAAATAAGCGACATATTTTTTAATTTTTGGCAATTTTAGAACTGTCTCACGCGTTGGCGTGGAAAGTAAAAATAGATACATGAGATATCAGCATTCAGTATTATTCAACACCCTTGCATTAATTTATAGTATATTATATCATTCATCCTGATATATAGATAGGAAGTTACAATTGTTAAAGCCTATCAATATGCTAATGATACACAGTTACTTTTTTTCTTTAGGGCAATAGTGAAGTTCAAGCTAACAATACTATTAATCAGGATTCACAATTGCTAGCGGAGGTGTACCAAAAGTGATTTGAATCTGAATACATCTAAATCAACTGTGCTCATTTTTGGCAAAAATCGAAATGCGGTAGAGTAAGATCTAAATTTGGTTATCAATGGCGAGCGTTTGGAATCCAAAACACTGGCACAAAATTTAGGCGTGGTATTCGACACAAAATTACACACCTTGAAATGTGCACACAAAGCTTACATAAACCTCAAAATACGCTACGCACACGTCATTTACTAAATCAATCATCAAAAATTAAATTATATAACAGTTTAGTGCATTTTAATCATTTTATTGCTCCATATGGCCCATGTCTTGATATATGTGATGAGAATCGAATCTAAAAGGTACAAAAGTTGTTTTAGTTTATATATGGTATAAGGAAATACATAGGAATATCCCACATATTGCAAGATGCAAACTGGTTATCTATCTCATCTCAATTACCAAGTGTCCACCTTCCTTATATAATTATATACTCGTAATAACATTTTCGGCAGAAATGATGTCCATCACCGGTCCCTTAGATATAAATACTTAATGCCATCACCTTTACAAAAAACGATTATGTTCTGTAGATTATTCTCCTATAATATACAGGGTATTCTCAAAGTTGGGACTTTACAGAGCATATAGGTGATAATAAGCATGTTTTTTTAATATATGTATATACCAAAGCTTTAAGATAACCGAGATAATAGGTTTCAAAAAGCAATAAATGAGCCACTCTGCCTCCTCCCTTCCTACATTTCCCTCCTACGCCATGACGTATGATGTCGATGTACTGAGTCAGTATCCAAGTCAGGCGTCGCGTGGTGTCTAGGATAACCTAGTTTATAAACAAACCACACTTGAAAAGCCGAAATTGGCACATTCCTACAGCAATAACGTAGTTATCGATTTGATATGAGCAATTTCAAGATCGTATTAATAATCCGCGAGTGTACTCAGAACGTCGCCGTCATCATCGATGTTTCCATCAGATACGCTTATATTTGTTCATATCGGGCGAAAGCCGACTGGTTGAACACAGTTGAAGACCTAGACAGCCCCAAATGTAGCAAATTTAGGAAGAGGTAAACAATATCGTGTTTGTGAATCGAACAGCGCCAACTTCAAGCAGTGCTAACAAACAAAACATGTGACAGGATAGTACTTGAAATGTCTTACCAAATGAATAGAGAGTATTTACCTTCAATTTCTTTTTTACGTTTTCGGTGTTGCTTTGCCCCAAACTGGCTTTGGTGTTGCAAACGTAGTTGACTCTAAAAGAAAGTCCCAAGTTTCAGGACACCCTGTAGATTATACAATCTAATTCCGCAGTTTATGGACACCTTCAGTTGCCATACATTCAAGTCCACCCTTTACATTCACTGGATATGCAAAATAGTGAGTGATTCCATTCCTGCTCATTGTCTTTTCTTTTTGTGTACTTCCTATTTTTCTTCTCTCTCACACTTTTTTTATTTTACGCATAACTATGTTCTATTCTATGTGTCGCCATTGTGATTATGCGTTATATTAGTTTATAGTTTTTTTTATGTTGTAAGCAGTCTCTTTTGCAGTAAATATTTCAAATTTGAGTTTCAAATTGATCCGACACTTTATGTATACACATATTCAATTACTATTATTACCATTATTAGCTACAAATTATTTTTTGGTTATTCATGAAACTTCAGTGAAGACAGAAACTTACACATACCAAATGTTTATCAAAAAAAGATATATCAGACCAATAGCTTTATTTTTATTCAAAGGTGGACACATTGAAACTAGCTATTGGATACATCAACTTTCTAAGCGAAATAGTACGACAGGATAAAAATTCGAATGCAGACTATTTCACTGGTCACAATAGGAACAATCAGAAAGACGAACCGAAGAAAATTATAGTTAGGGGTGAGTACATCCTAATCTTTCAGGATATAATACTTTATGTTGAGAGAAATTATCAGTCTATTTAAATGAAAGAAGTAAAACTTGTTGACTGGATCTGTCTTTCTTTCTGGAAGGGGTGAAGGATAGAGTGAATTACTATCTAAAGCCAGTCATTTATTTTTGTTGGGCATTATGTTGATCTAAGCTATTGTTACAGGATGTGGAGGATTGTATACTGCTCACTCTTTATCTTGGTCTAGAGTGAAGGAACCCCATCCCAATGGTATCATGCGTGCTAAAGTCTGGATACCAGAAGATCCCAGAGCTAACAAAGATAGCCCAAACAGCTCATCCTACAATCCATCTGAATAAATTTGTGAGAATCTTTATGACCATGTGAAATACTATGGATATTTAAAAAAGACCTTGCGATGAATTAACGCATTCAGTTTTTGGATGCCAATTTTGAAACTGGATTGCTCACAATAATATATGGATGTACTTGGCCATGGAATTGTGGTTATCAAGAGTAGCATGGCACTATTATAGCCATTGATATAGCAAAATATATTCATATATTCCAATAATATTAAAGTAATTATCTTCATGTAGAAGTGGATAGGTGCAATATTAAGAATTAGTAGCACTTTGGCTATTTATCGCATATGTTATTGGTATTGTATATACATATATCTCTAGCTTATAAGGAAAATGTTTTTCAAAAATATGCAATAGATGTCTAAGTAGAGAAATAGAATACACCTACTCATTAATCATTGATATAACTTCCAGTTATTAGGATCTGATTTGCTAGTCATTAGAAATCGTTGCTAGTCATTTATTCCTGTATATACGTAATATGATATATTTATTAATAAACTAATGCGCATCATTTCCACCTGTTTAAACTACAACTTCTCCCACCACAGTGAATTCTGACAGAACTTCGGCTATCCCTTTAAATACATTATTTGTTAAGAAGCCAATTTACAAACCTAAAATATACATCTTGATGAGAAATTTCTAAATCAGTTTAGGACTACGACAGACACATTTCGTCATCTATAAGCGCAGTCCGTAGGACTGCCTCTGTATCAAAGTATGTCGATCACTTTCTGTCGGCCTGGTTGTTCAGAAACAAAGTCAAATAAAAAGAGAAACGGAAAGAATGAAGGCAGATAGAGAGCAAAGAGTAAGAAAGACAGCTGTTAGGTGAAGGCACTCCTAGGCATTGATGAAATGACTGGAATGATTTTGATTCAAAGATCTGTCAATTCCAATCGATTCAACACATTGAAATTTTGAATAAAACCGTGAAAAAATGGTTATATTACAAATAAGGGTACCATCTGTTACACCAACGTAAGGATGTCTTTTGAATGGCACGATCTTTCTGTGATCATGGCCTGAAGAAAAAATCCAAAGGATCTGAACAGTACCTTTCAGATCAGAGGTCAATCTGCGTTTGTCCATTACAGAACCTTACATACATATATATTGAGACGTATTATCTACCTCCGTAAAATCTCGCCTCTAATTCAGTTTATATAATGAGAGAGAATATTTTAAGCTGGGGTTACCTATCTATAACTTTTCTAACGGAGGGTATCGGGTCCTTTTCACACCGATGAGCGGTTGGCAATCTGGCTGTCTTTTACCGCTATAACAACCGACTTTGCTCGTCTGATCTCTCCTCCATGATGTCGCCGCATATTGAGCCTGTCAGACTTGTGCCTCCCATCGTAACTCTGTCATATTTCGTAAGTCCAGAACAGGCTGTTACGACCACCCGTTTGTTCCTAGGGTATCGAATTGACCCTGAGGTTTAACGGATTTTGCCCACGTGACTCGGGTTACTTTTGTTTTAAATGCATCAGAAATTCTCAAACTACCACATTTAAAGAAATGGGTGGAAACCTCATTCCCATATAGGTAGGAGATGCCAATAAGTTTATGTGTCAAGGTATATATCCCCTCAGTTTCTATCAATTTGTGCAGTTAATACTACGTCAAATGGACAAATGGTCCATTTTCTGTACAGTAAAAACCAAATTCGATCATTTAAAAAATATTGTCTTCGCAAATACAGAAGGCACTGTTCGCTTATCTTACCACAAAATTGAGATAACTTTCTTTGCAAATTTCTCAAAGTCTATGAGTTTGATTGCAGGGCGGTACTGAGAACACATAGGAATATATAAAAAACGAGGTCACGTAACTCAAATCGTGGTTATTTGGCCGACATATTAAAAAATGACAGCCAAATTGCAGTAATTTAATAATTATTTAAATTTTTAAAGCTTATTTCACTCCTTTTTTGAAGGCAAACATATTTTGTAAGTATACATTTTTCGAATAATACAATAATTCTTGAGATATAGGCTCGAAGAAATATTATGCGATTTGGTCGCCATTTTTAAATATGACCTTATGACCGAGATTCCTGCCATGTGAGCATTTTTAAATGCTTCAATATGTACACAAAATATGTTTGCTTCTAAAAAAGGAGTAAAATGAGCCTAAATCAATTGAATCGTTTTAATTGTTACGAAGATATGTCGTACAACTTGGTGGTCATTTTTACACTTGGCGGCCAAACAACCACGATTTGGATCGCATGACCTCGTGCTTTATATGTTCCCATAGGTGCTGGATAATCTCGTGTATTCAAAATTAGGAGACATATAAGTTAATACGTGACCTCTGAGGGGATGGTCCTACTCTTTGAGAAATTTGCAATGCTATTTTCCATTAGCGCAAACTGTCTTTAGTATCAGTGAGTACAATACTTAACTACACATACTTGGGTTTTGCTCTACCAAAAATAAACCATTCCCCCTTTTAAAGTAGTATTATTCGAATAACTACACAAATTGGTGAGAATTGAAAACCTTGGCGTATATAACTACCAGAGGGAGGGAAGGGTGAAAATGAGCTTTAAAAAATTAAAGACCAGTGGTTATGAAGATATGTTGATTTGTCGTTTTACAACTTAGTAACCATTTTTAAATATGGTGGCCAAAGGTTCACGATTTGGATGGGAGAGTTTGATTTAATGTATACTCCTATAGGTGCCTAATCATGCTCCAGATTCAAACTGAGGGGACATATAACGGCACACGTGACCTTAATGACTGTTCCTAGACTAATAAAAATTCTGCAGGATATTTTGTGGTAAAGTATTATTTATTTACAATTTTACAAATATTACGTGGGTCCTAGCGTCTCTCAATTGGGCAATATACACTGGAGATCATAACTGAAGCGCCACCAACAACTTTCTGCTTACCTTTCCTCAGTTCAATTGTAACTTAATACCTCTTTCAGGGATGATACAACAAACAGAAACAATCAACATGGAGATTATTCTATTTGATTTAATAACAAATTCATCCCGGTAAGTTATACAGGGTGACTTCGAAGTTGAGTCATTTATTTTAACAGTGAGTAGATCTGATCAAAAGAAATGTTTTTTCCTTTAACATTTTTCTAGTAAAATTAAAGTAACAAAGTTATAGCCCTTTGGAAGTTTGAGTACCGCCTTGTCTCAATAATAATATTATGTGCTCGTGTTTGGCAACAACGGATATAATCCGCGTTATCGGTTCATCGCATCGGAAACAAAAAAGCGAAAGAATTTGAAACGTTTATCACGATGTTTTCAGTCGGTAACGCGTGAGTGAATAGTGGTGTTTGTTGCGTGGCTCAAACGAAATAAAAAATGGCACATGTTTACGAAAATGCTGAACTTGTCGACATGATTCTTATTTACAAAATGCTGCCGCGGCATCACGGATTTGTGCGAATCGGTTTCCCAATCGAGTGCAACCAACCCCTCGTGCCTTTGTTAATATAGTACAAAGGGCTCGTGAATCAGGAGACTTAAGACCTTACAGGGGAGGCCTGCCGGTGCTCCAAGACCGCACGATCAAATACAGGTCCGCACTGAAATACTTGTCGGGAGGACACTTTATAAAACAAGGTAACATTTTTTTTTATGTTTTTTTATTTTTACACACATATTTTGGTTTATCTTCCTTCTACAATCATTATCTGAAAAATAATGACTCAACTTCAAAGTCACCCTGTATAAAGTGACATTTAAGCCAACTAAAGAAAAAACAAATTGTTGGTGGGGCTAAAGTTATGCTCTTCAGTATATCTAAGAAACAGAACATCAGTATGAATTCGAAGCAGTTGCTATAGCTATCTCTTTATCACCCGGTATGTGAAACAGACACAAAACAGATCATCGAGCGCCCTTCACAGCGCCCATCTTTGAAGCCGTGGGAAAATCGGCAGCTTTGACCAATGGCTGCCTCCGAAAAATATCGACGATTGATGTCGACGCAGTCGCATCGCTCCGACGCGGCAAGTAAAACCCCTGGGAAAACGCACAGGTGGTTGTCAAGTGTGCACAGACGATTTCCACTGCAACGTATTTTGTAGCTACACAGCGAGTTTGGTAAAATCGTCACAAATATTTACTACAAAACGAAAACAGGTACACTTCATTCAATCATACTTCTATGAGACTAGATTCAACAGTACTCTAGCTACGGAACATACAAATTAATATGAAGTTCACTTGTTATACCAAAAGCGAGTGAAGTATTGTGATTATATTTTCTTTGAGATGACCTAAGGTCAGTTTTTTGGACAAAGAGGAAGCTGACGTTCGTTTTTTAACACAATCTTTCACCGAACAGGAATGTCCAGTTTATCAAAAATCTGAGTTGTGTTATAATAATAAAGTGTTAAGATAAGGAAGTTTGTACCCTTGGCTCTGTTTCTTATAAACTGTGCCATTGGTTCTAATGCAACGTTGCATCGAAACTTACATAAAACGTGATATTTCGATGGTTATGAATACGGCACTTCAATCAAGTTGTTACTTTTGGATTAAATTTAATTTCAGTTAACACATACGAGTATATCAGAAAGCGGCTGCTATTTCAGTTTTCGGAATAAACCGACAATTACCGAAATCTTCATTTTTTCTGATACGCATACGGTTCTGGTATTAAAAAGATGGAATCCTTACCTCTGTTAAAGAAGATATTCACAATAAAAAAGACTTCATTTGAAACAGGGGTTTGAACACAATCTACATATTCACATACATACTTCTGAAGCATCTAATTCCATTAAATAGTTTAAAAATTATGGCTTTCATCAATAAAGGTAATTTTGTAAAACAAAGTGATCATTTCTATCATTTTATTTTTTGGTATGGCATAAGTTAAACAGATAAAGTCGATTTGAACTATAATTATGAATTTTTGACGAAAACTGATGTACAACAAACAGAAATAACATAACAACACCGCAAAGTAAGTTGGCTTATTTATCTTCGAATGTTTGTCCTGCAAAAATGGACGTCTGATAAAATTAAACGCATTGGTACTAACCCGTAGCTCAAAGAAACCTGATCGGTGAAAATAATGAACTGAGAGCTGATATTCGTATAAGCTAACGTTCTTTATTTAGCATCTTTTCGTAAGTGTGTTTCAATTGTTCTTAAATTCGCCGACCTCTTGGATTATGTGATTCTCTATTCCCTTGGTACGCGATATTTTCGCAAAACTTCTCGTGAGTCGAGACTTTTTTAAACTGCCTTTTGTGACCGAAGGCCGAATGTGTACCAGAATCTTTATTTTCTTAACAAATGTGGTCGAAGACGAAATCGATGCCGAAGCTTCCGTCAGACCTTATGAAATAGGCATGAATCGTATGGCGATTGTGTAAGGCGTCAATCTTATCATTTTAAGAAGAATACTTCATATAAAAGTATGTCCTAAATGTCCTTAACTTTCGAAATACGGGTTGGTAAAGTTCTCAAAAATTAGTGGCTCGCCACTGATTTTTCTTAACATAAAAAAAAAAAT